TTGGCTAAGCCTGCTAGATACCGCATTATGTGAAAATATGTACCTCACACTTCTGGTTCATCTCGGATAGAATTGGAGCAACAACAGGGTTCAATTAAACTTAATAAGCATGTAATTAAGTAACTGCTGGGGGCAGAAGCACTGTGCCAGGTGTCTGGGTATATAAAGATGAATAAAATAGAGACCCTGCCCTCAAAGCACTAACAGATGGTGGAGGGGAGGGATGGAGCTCCAATCCAGTGGGAATGGAATCAGAAAAAACTTCATCAAGAAGACAGCATCTGACATGGGTCTTGGAGGTTGAGCAATGTTTCAATAGGTAGAGATGGGAAAGGCAGCAGCTGGCTCTCAGGAATCATGGTTCTAACAGTTGCTGGGAAAGGGATGTGTGAGAACCTGAGGGGGCATCACAGCATGGCTCAGGAGCCCATCTGGAACGCATGCTTTCAAGGCAATATCAACATCCTGCAATGAGCAACTCCTCAGGATGGATGGGGGTGGGGACTGTAGAAGAAGAAGGAGAAAAGAAGAGAGCACGAGGAAGGGCAAGACAGTGAGAGAAGCCCCTGAAAATATCCAGTGCCTACTCCAAGCTGTGGCCCAGCTGGATCCGGCTGCTGCTGCAGATGGCGAGATACCTCTGCAGGAGCAGCACTGGTAGATGGGCTTGAACTTCATGAAGAAGTACAAAGGACTGAGCCCAGGACCAAACTGTTACCTGGAGAGTGTTGTAAACGTTCAAGGAAGCAACAAATTAGTGAACACTTCAATAGAAACGATGGAGGATTTGAGGATACTTCTTTGTGTGTTTTCATCTGGTCTCTCAAGTACTTCATTGGTTGGAAAGAGCAAACGATATCATCTGAGGTGATTAAACCAATCTCCTTATCTGAATATCTCAATTGTTCATCCCACAATATCCATCCTCTCACACACCTCCTCCCCCCAAGGTTCAGAAGGATATAAGGAACACAACTCCATTTTAAATGCGATGATGTGGGAAAAAGTGGCAGCCCTACACTTCCCACCGGTCTTGGCAGCTGCCTGAGCAACCTTGCAAGCTGAGAGCAAAACGAGAAAAGACGGCTCTTTCTTTTGGCCTCTGGCACAAACTCACCTTCTCAGCCCAGGCTTAGACCCCTTTGCTGCAAGGCTGTCTTGGTATGTGGGATCATACTTTGCAAAGCACTCCCGAGTAACAGTATATGTTTTAAGTTGATGAAATGATATTTGTGTATGAAGATGCTTTTGTTTCTTAATCACTCATGTTTAGCTGAAAACAAACAAACAAACCTAGCCTGTGACTTGTATTCCTTCCCCACTATCGGTCTGTGGCTATAGTCACAGCTTCCAGATGGTTGACAGTTTAAACTCCACTGCTTTGCTTCAGAGAACGCTCGATACCTTTGCTCAGAGGGAGCCACACTGCCTCTCACCGCTGAGACAGTGTACAGTGGGCTGTGCGGCTATGGTGCTGACTTCAGCAGTCCTTGGTGGTGCCTTTGGTCTGGGGGTCACAATTCTGTGAAGCCTTCCAGCATCCCCTCTGTTCTCTTTCCCTCCCGGAGCTCTTGTCACTGTGAGCCCAGCATTTCTACTCCATTTGGAATATCTCCTTCCTTCACAATAAATTCTTGGGCATCAGAATGTGTAATAAGGGGCCAGCCCTGTGGCTTAGCGGTTAAGTGCGCATGCTGGCAGCCCGAGTTTGGATCCCGGGCACGCACTGACCCACCTCTTGTCCGGCCATGCTGAGGTGGCGTCCCACATACAGCAACTAGAAGGATGTGCAACTACGACATACAACTATCTACTGGGGCCTTGGGGAGAAAAAGGTAAACAAAGGAGGAGGATTGGCAATAGACGCCCAGGGCCAGTCTTCCTCTGCAAACAGAGGAGGATTGGCATGGATGGTAGTGCAGGGCTGATCTTCCTCTACAAAAAAAAAAAAGAATGTGTAATAAGCCTTCATCTCCTGGACCACATCAGAAGAGGAGGAAGGAAATTGATAGCCTCCTCCCTCTCTCCTCTCTTCTCCATCCTATTGCCAGGGTTCTGTTTTGAGTATGCTGGGTCACATTCTGCTATTCTGAGCTTTGAGCTAGGCACAGAGCAGGTCCGTTAAATGCATGCTGATTCGGAAATTCCCCTACTTATCTGACTTTTCAGTAATGCAGTTAGAAGGCCAGCCTCTGAGAAGGAGCTTATGGAAGTGCCCTTCTGAAGATAGTTTTGGTTGTAATACTTCCTCCTCCCGCTCTTCTTTTTCTGTTCTCCTTCCTTCCTTTTTTTCTTCCTTTCTTTTTGTCTCCTTCTCTTTCTCTTTTTCTTTGTCCTTCTCCTTCTTCTTCAAATATACAAACGCTGACTTCTCTCTTCCGTTCTTTATCATGCATCTTCCTGCTCACCAGCATCTTCTCCTGTTCAATGAGATGTATCAAAGTCTCCGCAGAGCAGAGGTGCTCTCAGGTCTCGGTACCACAGATGCAGGAAGCCCATCTCTAGCAAAGGAACTCGAGATACAAGAGAGAGATGAACAGAGAGGTTGTCTTTCAAATTCAAGGAACTTCTGAGCACTCTACTCTTGAAATAGAGAATGATAACTGGTGAATGGGCCTCCATTCAAAGCCTTCCACGACACGGCCCCCATTTGCCTTTTTAAACCTCTTGTCCTCTGCTGAATCGGAGCCTCCACTCCTTGCTCGTTGTAAATGCAACTTCCTCATTTCAGACTCAGTGCCTTTTTTCAGTATTCTGTTGTTACCTTCTGCCAGAATGATCCTCTCCCTCTTCCCAGCCAAACCAAATGGTTCTCATCTATCAGGCGCCAGACTCACAACTCGCTTCCTCCACAAAGCCTTCGTGGACTGCTCTGGCCCACTGGGGCGCCTTCCTCGGGACTCCTATCACACTTATGATTAAAGCACCCTTTTCAGGTTGTTCTCTGCAGCAGAAATGCTGCCAAGAGTTTCCCAACTCTTCCTTGAGGACCTGTATTGACTGAGATTACCAGACCGGTCTCTCCCTCACTCCTGATCATTCGCTCACATGCTGCTACTATGATCTGAAGGGAAGGCAGACTCGGTTGCCAGATCCTCAAAGCACGGGTCATAATATGCAGGAAGCTGTTTGTTTGTTTGTTTTAATCTTATAAGACTGACTTCTACATGTTGAATTTTCTTTGAAAAGACAGGCAAAAAGGCAAAGAAAATGAGAAAAGAGTTACTGAATAGAGGATAAGTGTCATTTTTAAGAAATAAAATTTAAGTAACTTTTACTCTAATATAGAAGTATAAAAAAGTTATTAATATAATGCATTTAAAAGAATTAACCTATGGATTTTCTTGGTAAATGCATAAAAGTACTCAAGGATAGGTCAATGTTTTATATTAAGAATAAGAGTGAGGGGCCAGCCCAATGGTGCAGTGGTAAAGTTTGTGCGCTCCGCTTCAGCAGCCTGGTGTTCACAGGTTTGGATCCCTGGCGCAGACCTGCGCACGGCTTATTGGGCCATGCTGTGGCAGGTGTCCCATATATAAAAATAAAAAGTAGAGAAAGATGGGCACGGATGTTGGCCCAGGGCCAATCTTCCTTGGCAAAGGGAGGAGGATTGGCGACAGATGTTAGCTCAGGGCTAATCTTCCTCACACACACTCAAAAAAAGAATAAGAGTGAAATGATAAAGCAACCCCCAAGAGTGAGACATCAAAATGTGTGTTTTTCTGTGACATAGGAATATCAGAAGTGCCACCTTTTTCAGAAGCCTTCTCAAACTCCCTGAGCTCTCTGGTAGCAATACTAACATCCAAGGAAGACATGATTATCCTTACAACATTCTCATAGATTAGAGCTGCTCCCTTCAAATCATGTAGTTTCCCTTAATAGCCTATTACATATATCACCCATGAGTTAATCTAATATATTTATATTCACGACACTTCAGTCTGAATTATTTCTCCAAACTTGCAACTCAACTTAAATAATGCAATCAGAACTCAATGGATACAGAAATGGATAAAGATTTGGAGAGAAGGATAAAAAGTTCAGATTTTTACATGTGTAATACCATTTTAAACATTTTTTTTAATCTTATTTAGTTTATAAAGTTTTATACATCTCCAAGTAGTATACTAATAAAGGGACTTGTATGGTAAGGCAACAAAAATTTGGTATAAAATTAAAAACAGGAATTTCTAGTTTAAATTAAAAAAGAGCAGACAGAACCCAATAACTCGTCATTCAACATCCAATATAATCTCCAGGATGCAGAAACAGATTAGGATCAACAGTGCACTTACTATGACTAAAGTAGTAACAGTGCAATTTAAGGTTTGGTTAAATTGCTCTCCATAATCTAGGTCACAGGGAATAAAGAAGAAAGCCAAGTCAGCAGGACACTTTGTATCAAAGGAAAGATGAGGCTTGATTCAATGAGTTGCAACTTTGTCTTCCTTAAAGAGCTTTTCTCTAACAAGGATGCACCCTGATTGCATTGTTACTAACTACGTTTTTGTTATTTTGATAAGACAAAGGAAGGACACAAGAATCAAGTAACAATAGAACTGGAAGAAACATTTATATTAGACATTAAAATTTCAATTTAAAATCTTTGCCCACTTGAAAGTATTGTTTTAAGACTGTTGAAAATAAATGCTCTTACATTTTATTTTTAATTAATCTTCTTTGTTTTGTACCTCCATTTGCTTTCTTACCAGACAATCAATGACCAGCAGGATGAAATGGTTTAACTGTCTTTTAAAATAGTTTCCTGACAAAGAAAGGTTTAAAAAGGCAAGTGCTACAATTGGGAGCTTTGTTCCTTCTAGGCAGGTGGTGATTGTAGGTCCAAGTGTAAGTCTGACAATGTTTCTATCATACGAGAAGGACCTCCGCCACTTTTCAGTTCTAATGCACAACGCCAGGAAGATAAGAGCCACTGTTGGACAAAGAAAAGGACAGAGGTCTCCTGAGAGTTCTCCACCATGACTTGGGGTACTTACGGGGCAGTGAGGTAACCCTCCAAAAAGCCAGCCACAAACATGCTGACCTCATTGCTCAGGGTCTGAGAACCATACCCCGCTCGGATCTCCAGGATGCCCCAGCCTGTGGTTTTCATAGAGTTATTGTAAAAGCCGTAGGCATCCCCACTCCTGTCCAGCACGTTTTTGACTAGTACTGTCTTTTCAGCAGGCATCCAGTATGCAGTTGCAGAGTAGACTTCTGGAAGAAAAGAAAAGAAGATAATGATAGGGTGCCATTTAACTGAGTTGCTGATGCATTTTTTCTCTACATAACCAACAATTCCAACACATTTGCTTTTAAAGAGTTCCATTCTGCTGGAATTGGGAAATCTGCCACTATCGTTTGTCCTTGTTACAAGTGAGCCTTGATCAAGGGGGATGAGCCCAGGTCAAAGGTAGGGACATAGTTAGATCTTCAGAGGTGAGTCTAAATGCTTTATCCTTAGAGATGGGATTCTTGGCAAGCCAGAGCTGGAGCTCTAGCCCATCCCTTAATTCAACCCAGGATAGAGTTCACATCCCTGGTCAGCAACATCTTCCATTCCCCTCAGCAGTTGGGCCAAAGCATCCATATTCTCTGGCTCCTTATCCAACTCTCCTGCTTAATTCTTCACACATGACATTAATTCCTATTTTGCAGAAACAATAGAAACTATCACCTGTGATTCCCTCAAATTCTTGATAATTTTGCGAATTCATCCTCACAAACCCTGTACCCATCTCTCCCTTCTTGTTCACCTCAATCCCTCTACCCATGTGCTGCGTCCCATCCCTTTCTCTTATTCCTTATGAATTTTGCTCCATCTTGTATCTACTTGCTCTTGTAGCCTAAAGCTCTCTCTGCAGGGGCTCCTCCCCCTTTAGTGTATTGACATGTTCCCTTGTCTCACAGCTAAAAGCAAACTAACCACAGACGCCCTCTCTGGATCTTGTGACCAGATTTGACTATTGCCGGAATCTCTCATGAAATTACTACAAATTTTCTAGATCACACTGTATCAGAGACTATGCTAGGTTCTGGTGATAGAGCTGCGAATATGACTGGCACAGTTCCAGGCCTCATCTTCTGGAGGGAGGAGTGCCTCACACACTTCACTTCCTCACTTCAGCCTGCTGTGGTCTGGCATCCACCCCCACCATGCTACCAGCACTGCTCTGGCTTGAAATGAAATCCTTGAATCCTGGTGTCACATGACCTTCTGAAAGCCTTTGACCTTGGTGACCAACTTATTTCTAAAACTCTTTCCTTCCATGCATCTGGGACAACACTCTCTCTTGAATCTCCTTTGCCTGCTTCCTTCCTCATTCTCCCGTGGGCTCCTCTTTATCTTGTATACCCAACAGCACACTTCATAACACCATCTGGATAATTCCATAAGCACTAGAAATTCAAAATATCCAAAACAAAACTCATATTCTCTCCCAACCCATCCTCCACTTCTGCTCTTTGGCTCCATGATCTGTCAGGCTGAAACCCAAGTCCATCCAGGCCTCCTCTCTCTCCCACATAACTCATGTTTAATCAAAACCTCCTAAGTATCTCTCCCACCAGTCTCTACCTCTTTAGCTCTACATTTCTATGATACTTGAGGTATCACAACCAGCCTTGACTACAAACGAGACCTTTTTCAAGGCCCCTCTGACCTTTAATCTGTTCTACATACTCTGCCAGAGTGACCCCCCCTGAAATGCGAAACTGATTTTTTACTTCACTACTGAAAATCTTCAGTGGCTTCTATTTCCTAGAAACAAAAGTCTTCAGCTTACACTCTTGGCCTTCATGCCCTCGTTTCTGCCTTCCTATCCAGCTTCATCCACCACGCCATGCACTGTGTGCTCTGGAAACTGTTACATACTGCTCTCCAACCTGACATGAACTGGTCCAACACCCCTGACTTTGCATATGCTGTTTCCTTTGCCTGAGATTTTCTCTCTTGTTAACCACCTAGGATTCTCAAAATTGCTATTTAAGATTCAGGAAGCAGCACCCCCTTTGTAGGGATTGACTTGCTCTATAAGCTCAGTGTACCTTGTATGTACATCTCCTTTAGGTCTTATCACATTGCACTGTAACTTACATGTCTGCCCCTGCTCTTAGCCTATGAACTCGAGGCCAGAGACTGTTTCCTCAGCTCTTGGTATAGTGTCTGGCCCATAACAGGTACTCAATAAATATCTGTGAAAGGAAGAGAGACTTAGGAAGGAAGAGAGAGAGAAAAAAAAAAAGGAAAAAAAAATGGAGAAAGGAAATGGTACATAGCACATTTTTTTCTTTATATAAGAAATTATTGGGCCAGCCCAGTGGCGGAAGCAGTTAAGTGCACACACTCCGCTGCGGCGGCCGGGCTTCGCCGGTTAGGTCCTGGGCGCGCACCGACGCACTGCTTGTCAGGCCATGCTGTGGCGGCGTCCCATATAAAGTGGAGGAAGATGGGCATGGATGTTAGCCCAGGGCCAGTCTTCCTCAGCAAAAAAAGAGGAGGATTGGCAGATGTTAGCTCAGGGACGATCTTCCTCACAAAAAAAAAAAAAGAGAAACTATTGCACAGCTGCTCAAGTTAAAGACAAACTTTACATTCAGGTCATCAAAGAGACGGGAGGAGACCAGAATGACTCTCAGATTCTAGGTTGAGACTCAGCGGGTGGATGTTGTATCATTCATAGAGAGGGAGTAGATGGGGAGTAGGTCTGGGAGGGAATATGAGTCTAGTTTTGGACATACAGAGTTTTTAGTGGTTAAGATACTAGAAAGCTCAGATTAAATATTAATATAGGGCTATCTGTTGTCAGCATTCAAAATTGCCTCAACATTTTATTTTTTTGATACAAAGATTGTTTATCAAATGAGCACTAAAAATATAAACTTACTACTACAGCATCACAGCATCTTGGCTCAAGGGGGCTGGTGATAGGCTGGGACTTGGTCAGGCTTAGAAGCTAATGCTGATTATGACCCTTAAAGAATGATCTTGAGCAGGAAAGTCAATTTATTCTCAGTAAATTCATAACCAAAATGGTGGGCCTTCTTTAGAAATGATTAAGTGGAAGTAATGACTTAATAAACATAGGCAGGTGCAGAATACTTTGTCAACAGACTCCCTGTGATGAATAATAGTCTAATTGTTAATAAAGCCAATTGGCCACAATTTGACACCTATGGACAGCATCCATAGAAACTTCCCTTCTTCTCCTCCTAAATACAATAAATATGTTTTCCAAATTGATTTGGACCACAAATGCCATAGCCTCAGTCCTTCTCGATCTTTTCTCACACATTTTCTTCCACTCGCACGTCCATTGAGCTTTGTAGGGAAATGAGAAAGCACAGCTGACTAAAAAAAAAGTAGCCACAAATTGCTGCGGAAGGGAGAGGGGTCATAAAGAGGAACTGTAAAAGAAAGAAGGAAGGTTAGCAAGCCTTGTTAGTCTCTTCTCCTTCAGTTCTATCCACATAGCATGATTTTAGCTTTGTCCCTTTCTCCAGAGCCTTGACATTTCTCATCTGGAGCACCCTGGCCTTCCTTTCCCTTCCCTTTCCATTCCAGAAGCTCGTTTTGCTGTAAACCTTGGCTTGCTCTCAATCTATGCACTCAAGTGCTGTGTTTTCATTGTTACTGGTACTACCTAATTTCCTGACCATAAATAACAAATTTCTGCAAATCTGGGCTCTTTTGACACTGGTGTACCTCCATGCATGAAAAAAACCTTTACTCAGTCCTCAAGAGAATTCAGTGAGAAAAATTGACTGCAGGCTGATCAACTTAGCATGTGCTCTGAGAATTAAGACAAAATCCAAGTTTTTTGCTCCACCCCTAATGGATGTCCTCCATTCCTCAATGTTTTCTCCATACAACAACTCTTCCTGGTTTTCCCAGCACCATGCTATTTTCTGATTTTTCTTAAACCCTTTAATAGTTTAAGCCATAATACTTTTCTATTTTTAAAAAACATCTCCATGTTGGGAGATGGATGGTGTGAAAAGTGTAATAGCGAAAATGTAGAAAATATTACATCATTTTAATCCTAATCTAACTTCATACAAACTCTGTGAAGGTAGGGACCACTTCTGTTTACTACTGTGTATCCTGGGAACACTGTACCCACAATAATGTTTCTGTGATGAATCTAGTTTGGTTGTCTGTGCTCTTGAAATGAAAGTGAAGTTTATCAGAACATTCACAGAAGTTAGTCTAAAGTAACTCAAGTCATCATGTCCTCAAGCTCAGGTACGGAGCATAGAGGATGGTTCAGATGCCCAAGGGGCACATGCCATTTGTTGATATTTTCTCTCTCTCTCGAGTTGTGAAAATGAAAAATGGGATTTAAACATTTTTAACAGCAACATCCTCAAAACCAATGCACTTGATAAATATTTGTTGAATGAATGGGAATGTTACTTTATAAAAACAGAGTATTTTTCTTCTATACATAAAGATGGAAGAAGCCCCATCATTTTTATATGTCTCTCTATGTAAAAACTCAAACACTCAAATTAAATTTCTTTTATTTACTTGTGTATTCTGACTAATTTTTTATAAGTTAATTGTTTTTAGTTGAAAAGAAAAAATTCCCAACCTTGTCTTAGAAAGAGTTTGAAAAATAGTCATAAGTGGCCTAAATCACTCTCTCCCACATTTGGAACCTAGGTTTTCTAGCACCTCATTTATGAAAGAATAAGTTGTTTTCAACCCTAAGTAATATAATTTTTTCCTAATATACTCAGTCAGTCAGATAGAGAAAAAAAAGAAAGAAACATTGAGAGAAGAGGCAGAATACAAGAGAAAATATTAAAAAATTAAGATTGCAACTTAATCTATTCAGATTGGGTTTAGCTATTAGTTCACTGATGCTGATCCTTGAATTGCTTTTCTCTTCCATGTCCACTGAGCGTGGTCCCTCAGTACCTCTCTGTGTACCTTGACATTACACTTCCCTTCTTTGAAAGGGCTCTCAGTAAATAGATATCTGGTTATTAGATTTGCTTTGACTCTTCATCAGAGTCACTAAGAAAATAACTGATTCATGAATAAACAATCTCAAGGCACAAAAATTATAAGTAGGTATTTCAGCTCTTCCTCCCAACAGAAATCAGAGCCTAGGACTCTTGCTAAAAGGAGGACTCTTTGGGGAAGTGCTCCCAGGGAACAGGAATGGGGGACTGGAAAAGTGAAACAGGGAGGGAGGGAAAGCTAATTTAGGGGTGCATTCTGAAATGGTCCAGGGAGGTGTGCAGTATAAGTCTCTGAAGACCCCATCCCAGGCATGGAAGGAGGAACGTTTATCCACCTGCTCCTGTCCTGTGTAGGTCAAA